CTCTGGATACTAATCAGGGTCAGACTTCCTCAGAGGATATGAAGGCACTTGATTCATAGCCTGTGGGTCTGTCTGCTTCCCAGCAGAATGGAATCTTACAGGATGGAATCTTAGAAATAAATCCAATTTGCTTTTCTGAGATACTCCAGTCCTCTTTCTAATCCTGTCCAATGTAGTTGTCACACTTCCCATTATGGTCCCATTTAGGTGGGTCTGTCTGCTTCCCAGCAGAATGGAATCTTACAGGATGGAATCTTAGAAATAAATCCAATTTGCTTTTCTGAGATATTCCAGTCCTCTTTCTAATCCTGTCCAATGTAGTTGTCACACTTCCCATTATGGTCCCATTTAGCAGCACATTTTCACATTGTCATTGTGAAAATAACTAAATATTAAGGATTTAGGAACAACCTTTGGGATATTCTATTTTATTTGTTGTTAGGAAGTAGAAAATTCAGTCTAAGATTTATAAAATCTGTGATACCCCATCAACAGACCATGCTCAAGTTCTATTCTCTAAATTAAGTTGTACAAAGTGTTCCTTTGTGTACTGGTAGATCCTAGCTTTGAAGGCTGTAGGAACAGGTATGGCTGGATAAGAACATGTTGCTTTGAGCAACAATGATCTTGTTGAATTTTCATAGCAATGAAGAAACCAGATTAAGAAGGATTTCAGCATGGGAACTAAAGAGTGAGTGGCTTAAGGTCAGCATGCAGGGAAATAGTCAACATAGGGAGATAGCAAACTTCTTTTAAGAAAGTGCAAAACATTTCCAGTACTCTCTACCAAAGTAGTCTCTTAATAATAACAATAAGAAGAAGCATCTTAATTATAGTTACTCTATAACTTAGCAACTTCTTTAGCTTTAACTTTAGTAAACAGTTACGTCCCCATCAAATAACCCTAAATCTGTGTCTGTTCTAAACACCATGTTTTATTTATTTTTTAAAACTTTTTATCTTGAAACTGGAAATATTCCTCACCTAAGATTTACCAAGTGTTAGTGTTTTGCACATTTGTGCTTGCTCTCAATAAGTGATTGGTTGATAGATAGATAGCTGATAGATTAATGTGTGTGTGTATGTCATAATTTAACTCTTAAAAGATGGATAGATATTTTATTATAAAAGTATAATATTTGCTTGAAATACTCCTAAACAAATACCATATTTGTTTTAAAAATTATATTATGGTGTGATAGTATATGCTTTTATACTAAAAATAATTTCTGAATGGAAATTTTCATCCATATTCTACATTTTTATTTTATAATAAAAATCAAAACAATTAGCAATGTGAATTATAAGGCTCCCTTTATGTATCAATCTTATGAACTTTAAATTATGTAACAAATTTAACTATATAATGTTTAAATATATAAAAATTTTGAAAATACTTTTTATGACCATTTTGTTTAAAATTTCACTCTAGGAGAACAACCTCAATAGAGAAAACAGTCAAAAGCTATAAACAGGAAATTTACAGAAGAGGTAACCCAAAAGGTCATTAAAAATGGAGATGTTCAATTTTGTCAGTAATTAGAGAAACACAAATTAGAATAATAATGAGCTATTACCTTGCACCTATCATATTGGCAAAAATTTGAAAACTATATAATGCCAAGTGTCCCCACTATAGCTGATTGGACCAAGGCATAGGGAAGTCCAGATATAAAGCTGCTGGCAACTTATAAGGTATCTCACCTGACTCAGCAAGATAAGCTGGAATAAAATCATATCTGTCTACTGGGAATCTGTATTTAGAAAATTTTTTAAATAAACATGTTTAGAAAGAGAATAAAAGTAAGAGACTGGAAAAGTGGAGCAGAGCCAGACGGCCAGAGCCACACTGATGGGACACGGCAGAGTTATGATGCAAGGGGCTTGGGGGTCAGTGAAGAAGCCAGAGAGCATGAAAGCACAGAGCCACTGCACAGAGTGACATACAGCCATCAGTAGAGATGCTGTGAGGGACGCCATGGGTGCAAAGAGAGGAAAAGCCTTATTCTGAGTTCCTGCCAGCTTCCCAGGTCCTGGTTCTGTGCAGCTCAGGGGCTTTCCAGTTCTCCTTTTTGGAGGAAGGGAGTTGGAGGTGTAGTAGAGCAAGGAGATGCAAGATAAACAAAGAAGGCCTGCAAAATTCCAAAAGAAAATGAGTTTGAAGATTCTTATCCCAAGCCAAACAATCCATCAAATGTGAGTGTAGAATAAAGATATTTTCAGGCACACAATGAAAGAAAATTCACCCTAAAACACAAGATGACCTTAGAGTGTTTGCTGATGTCTTTTTGTAATGTGCCAACATTTAATCAAAATCACTCAAGTTCTTCTGAAGTGATAATGTCAACAGATGTGTGGTATTGAAAAGGTGAATTAAAACACAGACTTCACACTATCCAGTCATTCAAGACCTGTTGATACAGTGCTGCAGGTATCATTCAAAATGTATTGAGAAATTAGAATACTCCAAGGGTCAAAGACAGATAAGACATGACAAGGTTGGCTTTCAGGGAGTTGACACAGCAGTGTGGGAGTCAGTCAAGAAAGGAAAACTGCTGTTAAGTCATCAGAGCGTGACAAGTGCTATAATAGCAGACAGATCCCAGGTACAGTGGAGGCACAGACGAGGCCACTGCAAAGTCAGCCTGGGGATGCCATTAGTGAGGTGGGCTACTGGGGCAAGGCATTGAAGGATAAAGTAGGAGGCAGATTGGGATGGAGGTAAAGGTGCTGGGGTGGGGTCTCATTGAGAACATTGTAGGTAGCAGAAAATTCTGCAAGGCAACGAAGCATGAGATAATATGTAATTCAAGATTCTGAAATATGGAGAGTGATGAGTAGAAGATGAGGCTGAAGGTGAAGGCACAGGCACATTCAGGAACAGCAAACTCAAAATAACTTAAGGGAGGGTAACTTTAGTGAGAAAAGGCAAGCAGACAAGACAATATGAAGTGGTGCAAACTCTACTCAGCTGCAAAGGTCCACCCACTTTTCTCCACTGGATCCTGAGCTGGCTTAGACCTACCACCTGTGAATCTGGTTGGAGAGGGAAAGGAGATAGGATCCTCAAATCTGTATCCACAGGATTGCTATGCATGTTAAAGTTTGTGAATTGCTACTGAAGGCAGGAGTGTTAACATGGGTAGGGAAATGCAATACTTACAAAATGCTAAGTCAATGACTCCTAGCAACAAAACAAGTCCAAAGTGTTAATGCAACTATTTCAAACAGATTGCTAGAAACAAAAATAAACAGGGCAGTGCCTTAGAAATATATCAGAAAGAATATGACTGGAAGAACATATTGAGAGAGAATAAAAGGCTGGGAATTTTGCAGAAGGTTTAAATTGTTAATGGCGTTAATCATGGGAGATTCCCTGAGGAGGTGAAATTTTAAGGGTGGAATGTAATCTGTCTTACTGAGGAACTAAAACTATTCCTGTCTTAGAGGTAATATTTAAAGTCAAAAGATTTTTAATTTGGTTTGAATTTTTTAAAAGTGTTTTTAAATTACAAATAAATTATAATTGAGTTAAAGAATCATTTTCTGGAGTAGAAACAATAGGAAATTTTAAAAATTCTATTTTTAATTGTATAATATATAAAAAGCACATTTAAATAATTATATAATGGAATCCATAAATAAATAGATATTTTTAAATCTTATTAAAATAATAACCTATTTAATGTGGTTGTTATTTTGACTGTATATAACAATTCACAGGAATTTGCTTCAGTTAAGTGGCTACAAGATTATCATTTTAAAACAAAAAGCATAACTTTCCCTAATCTCCTCTACACTCATTCTATGATTCAAAGGTTGAACCTTTTATGAAAATGATTCCAATTAGTGTCTCTCCAGTGATTTGCGTATTATTAACCTGGGATAGATGCAAATAGTGCTTCTCTTCCTCAATTTCACATGCAGCTCTGGCTCATATAACAAAAGTTCCTCAGGAAAGTGGAAAAATCAGAGCACTTGTACTATTGGTGAAATATTTGGAAAGATAACAGAAGCTACCCTCCTCAAAAAAACGATGAGTTTGATAAAAAGAAATTAGCAAGCTGTGTCGGTGCGCTGCACATGATCAGCCATGCTTGCTGTCTAAGTCTGTCTGTTGGTTGTTGCTATGGCTACGGAAAGCCAGTGGAACCCAATGAGCTGTCTGCAGCAGTGCTGAGAGGACCAGCCATTTTACTTATGGAAAACAGTGTGGCATATTCTGCTGAGCTTTACCCTGGAAGAAGCATTTTTTTAAAAAAATCTATCCAGAGAAGAAAGAAGCAATGGGCATGTTAGTATACAATTATTACAGCCACGCATGCCTGCAAGCTGCTGTTTGGACAAGCTGTTGACTGCTGTTCCAATTAGCTGATTGGAGAAAGTGGAATGCGGTGTGATAATGCTGCATATCTGCTATCAAGCAGCAGAAAAGTGTTTTGTCTTGGGAAGGCAAGCCTTCCCTGCAATATTATCTCAGCAGCTCCCTAGCTGCTTACCCTGAAAACCAGTTATCCAAAGGAGGGTGTTGCCCTCTGCAAACACCAGTCCTGTGCGTGGCTGTTGCATATGAGCAGCAGGTCTGAAAGAGCAGGTGTGTGCTCGGATGGGCACTGGACTGTAACGCAGGCGGCCGCTCTCAGGTTTACCTGCTTCCTGTTAACAGATTGTTGGCTCACAGAGCATCTGCCTGCACGCTGAGACCGAGGTGGAGAAGGGGGTTCCTGGGCATCCCACTTGACTGACAGAGGTAAGCTTTTTTTGGCCTTTTTGAAAGCAGAGCATAAAAAATAACTTGGGACAAAATTTAACCTGAAAGATTTACAGTGATCGTGCGATCTGGATTTATCAGGGAAACACACGTGTACAAACACTCACACACTTCCACAAAATAGTGTTAGAGACATAGAGTTGGTCCAGTAATTTAGGTTCTGTAAATTGTGTGATAAAAAAAATTACTGATATGCCTTGGAGCTTAAAATAAATATTTGCTGTTTTGACAGACTATCATGGCTTATACTTCTGGACAGTCTTCATAGCCAACAACCTTTCTCTGTTACAAACAATAGATTCTTTTATGACCTGCACTTTGACATTTATTAAGAGAACTACATGTAAAACCAGCAGCACGTAAATTGTGAACCATTTACTTTTAAGCCTTGAAAATGATGTATTTAACTTTGAACATCAGTGTGTCTACATTTAAATTAAGGAGTTCTGCTCCTTAGGTAGGTCGTAAGAGCTGGTGGATTTCGTACTTGCTTATTCTGGACTGAGTGTCTTGGTGTGCTGTTTGATTTAGTTCAGAGTAGTTGTAAAGCAAACAGAGTAGGTACTGGAAGCCACTCACACCTCCTTTCTGAGTATCATGCATGCCATGCGAGCGCAGAGCACAACACCCCCATTGTGCTCCCCCGGCTCAGAATCCAAGGAAAGAAAGGAAGTGAAGTCCCCACATTGAGTTCAGACACAGCTATAGTATGTGGCGGTAAAACTTCTTTCATTGCTCAGTTTTTCTCACAAGCAGATAGGTTTCAGAGAGAGAGTGAAACCAAAAAACACCACGTAGCACATGCAGATGTACACTAATGTTTGCAGCGGACGTTTGCTGTCAGTTGCTCTGTGCTAATAGCACAGACATTGATTGCAGTAGAAATTACCCCTCGGTGAGTATTTCTTTGATTTATAGTCTCTTAGGAACAAAGCTGTTACTGTGAATTGAAATTGGTCAGTCAAATCAAAATCCCCAGTAAGGAAATGACCAAGTAGTGATTAAATTCTTTTTCAGTAACATTTCAGCTTTACCTAAGTCAATTTTATTGTTGGTCTACCGGAAATATCAGATTATAATGCTATTGAAAATATTTAATGAAAAACATTTGGTTGAAAACTTTGAATAAAATATCTGCTAAAGATAGAAAATACTGTGAAATTTAAAACAAATAGTAGCTAAGATCTCCTTTTAAGAAATACACTTTTATTTGCTACTTTTTCCCCCCAAATATGGATGACATGGAAAGTCTTCTTATAATTTAAGTATAATATAATTTTTATGAATACGTGTGAGCATGAATTACCTGTTCCACAGATATAGCAGTGTTAACATGCCCTCAGATAAGAGAATTTTAGAGAATAAGAAGAATATTTTTCAAGACTTTTGCTCTAAATGTCACCAATATTCAAGATATAAAGATACAAACTAAGCAATCTCAGTGTAGAGAATCATGTCCAAACACATAATGATAAGAACGAATAGGAATATGCCTGTGTGCATGTGAGACATTGCATGGGCTAAAAAGGCGAGTTGTTGGCATCGTATTTCACTTTGAAAGAAAAACTAAATGCATAGACTTTGTTTTGAGTCAAATTCCATGAATAAAAATATCGGTCAAGTAATGATTTTATTAGAGCAAAATAAAAGATATAAAAACTCTCTCTCCAATTTAATTCCCTTCAGAGTTTTGCACCAGTGTGCATGTGAGACATTGCATGGGCTAAAAAGGAGAGTTGTTGGCATCGTATTTCACTTTGAAAGAAAAACTAAATGCATAGACTTTGTTTTGAGTCAAATTCCATGAATAAAAATATCGGCCAAGTAAATGATTTTACTAGAGCAAAATAAAAGATATAAAAACTCTCTCTCCAATTTAATTCCCTTCAGAGTTTTGCACTGCTAAGGGAATTCTTAGAATTAACACAGTGAAAAGACCCACAGCAAGAAAATGATTTTGTGTTAGTTTTTCTTGGAGGAGTTTTTAGAGGAACAAGGTGTAGAGATACCTAAGGCACACCCGGCTGCCTGCAGTTCCCTGCTGCCTTTATGGCAGCACCACGTGCGACAGAGCCCTAGCCCGCAGGAAATGTGACATGCAAACTTTATACCTGTGCCATTTTCCCCTCATGAATAACTTTTAAGGTGGTATGCACAGCATATCTACATAGTTAGTAATTCAACGATTTGGAAAACCAGGTTCAGAGACAATTCCCATCTTTTAAGACTTTCCAGTTTAGCTTTTGTCTATTTTTGGACCCTTGTTTTTTACCACTTTCCAACTCTTCTGCTGGCAATATAAAATATTTTGTAATTTCCAAAACACAGTACATCACATTTTGAAAATGCATTCTCCTCTCTATAGACTTTTTCCTTTAAATCGCCCCCAAACCAGCAGCTGTCTTTCCTGCATCTTTCAAAAGCCAGCTAGGACGTCTCTCCAGGCTGTTCCTCGCTACCTCCTTTGAGTACATCTGAATCTTATGGCTGTAGTTTTGTTTACTGCACATACAGCATTGATCTCTACTCAGAGGCTTTCAGAGTTTTACTGACCTCTGATTCTACAGTATTTTGTCAGGTGTTTAGAACTTGGCATTTAGGTATCGTACTGGTAACCTCGGACTTCACTATTTTCTTATAAGTTACTGTAAATATAGAGTTGACCTCGAAATAGAATTCTAATACCGCCTTTTATCAGAGAAACTCAAAACATTTTAAAAAACAACACTGAGGATTTAATTTCTCAGATATGAAAATATGGCTTGAGGATCACAATTTCATAGAAGATATAAGTGTTCTATACTAGGACAGGATTTTCTGATGAAAAATTTTACACCTAAGCTTTATGCAAAACAACTTGAAAGTTTTAGTATACACATAATAGTATTTTTCTATCTGCCACTATTACAAAGTTTGCAGGGGAAAATAAGTATAGTACATATCTAATTAGAAATTTGCTATATAACCAGGCTATTTAGAATGAATGGTGCATTGAGGATGATTAGTAGCTGATTATAATGTAAGGAATCTTTTTTTATACTGAAGCCAGAAGAAAGTAAAGGTCATGACCTGGACAGAGACCAAATGATTGCAATCAAGTCTACAGTAGCAGAATTTCTTTTAATTTTCCAAAATAAACCTGAAAGGTTACTGATAATCGCTATTTACATTATGTTTCCCTACAGCTTAAGTTTCTGTGTGAGGGAGAGAATATTCTCTTAGTATCACTATTGATACAGACATAGTTAGTTTTGGTTACAAAGACTTCTCATACTTTTTTCTATATTAGATGCCGTGATTATTATTTTTTAAATAAGCCTAATTCTAATAGCCTTTTTTGTGGGAAAATTGCTTCAATGCTATAATCAGAAAATAAGAATGTATCAATAATTTTATTAAGAGGTAACAAATATATAATTCATTGTTTCTAAAATATATATGGTGAAAGAAGAAGTCCTAACTAACATTGTATAATTTTTGGTGCATAAAGTAGCACGTATTAGGAAGTTTAAGCTGTCCAGATGTTTGGAATTAGAAAGGAGTATATTTAGGAAATTACTTAAACTCATGTAATTCATATTTCTAGACATTTCCACATTATATTCCAACATCGAATTTTATAATAAGAAAAAAGATAAATGACAACTCTTAATTATCATGCTGTCCTATCAAGGTTTATTTTGGCTCTCTTCCAGCTGATGTTAATGTATAGCATGTTATAATTAAGTAATAGCTAAAGTTGAAATTGGTTCTATTTATCTTAAAAACTATTCATGTTTAATCATTATTTTAAATTGTATATAGTAATTAAATTTTAGGAAACATAATTTCATGATATATAGGTATCGTTTTTAATATTTTATATTTTAAATAAGTTGTAATATTTTGAAGTCCTAAACTATGTGCAACCATATTTCTATTGAAATGAAATAAGTTGCACTTACATCTTATAATGAAGAGTTGTCATGTATGATTGAATTAAATAATTTTCTAAAAGTTTCTTAAACTAATAACTTAATTATGGATACGCCTATTAAATTCAAAACTATCACTCTCAAGAATTATATTGAGATTTTCAAAATATCTTCATCATTTCTGAAATAAAGACATACACATTTAGCTGTAATGAAACACTTCTGTAACTACGGAGTTCTAAATATTGGCAAGAACTCTTATTCCAGCTTAAGCCCAATTAAGATGATATTAGTTAAGTAAATGACAGGGAACTAGCAAAGAAAGGTTTTCAGCTTGGGGTTTGACAGCAGGACATATCCATATAGAACAATATCACACTTTAATATACCCTAGTCTTTGAAACAGAAGTGGAGTAGTTTACCAACTAAGAATTTTGACGAAATAAGCAGTGGTTTCCTATTCTCTCTACAGGTCAGATATACATAAGTCCAGCAGTAATTGCATACCTTTGAAAAGCATTATTTGAGCAAAAGTTCAGAAAGCTTTCACTTTCCCCGATCTAACTTAGGGTCTTACTTTCAAAGAAAATTTTCTCACCTCAAAAAAAAAAAAAACTCTAGGAATAGTCTCATTATACTTCCTAATTTCTTTTTATATCCATGTTATAATTTAGAAAAAAAATGAATAAAAAACATTATTTGAAAATTTCAGTGATATTTTGGTTTCTTTCTGTTTATTTATACTGTTGCCTGCTTTTTAAATTTTTTAAGATTTTTAATTTTTTTATTCACTTCGACATTCGGTTCGTCTGTCTTTCCTTTGCGATGTTTTCTCGATGGTTGGTGTTAATTCCCTATCAAAAATACCTTCTTATAATGAATCATATCCTCTGCTTTGAAGAGGAGAGTCAGTCCAATCAATGTAGAAATAACTCTTCTTTTCAGATTCCTTTTTCTAGTAAATTTTTTCTGGAATGGCTGACTTTGAGGTCAGGGGCGACGTAAACCCCTCAGGTTCCAAATCTGATATTCTATTTAATTGGGTGTCCTTTACAAATTAATACA